GAAGGATTGGTGCGCTGTTGACGTTCTGCGCTCCGACTCGGATTGGTGCGCTGTTGACGTTCTGCGCTCCGACTCCTGCTCCGGCGATGGCGACTGTCCGGCGAAGACCTGGTAGGCTGGTTCCCCACGGCTCGCCCTCGCCGTTATCTCCGACGCCGCGCCCTCGCGAAGACTGGGTGGAGCGGCGGTGGTCGTCCGTCCCGCTCTTGGCCGTCGAATCCCGGTCGCCCCAACGGTTCTTCCAGCTCTTGGACACAGGAGCCGCCGACCAACTGTAGTCCTTGTCCTCTCCAGAACCATGCGCAGGGCGTGAAGAGGCCTGCCGAGGGGCTTGGAGATCGTGCTTGAAGTCGTTGGTCGAAGCAGCACGAGCAAGAGGCAGCTGGAGTCCTCCATCTTGGATTACCACCGACGTTCCTTAAGGACCTTCATGAAAAGTGGCACGACGGAGAGCGAACAAAAGCTGGAACACGGACTGCCGCGAAGAAGGCGGAATGTACGGGGTGAATAGATGTGCCCGAAAAAGGAACGGTGTGCGGTGGGGGGAATTGTGCACGGACAAGTTGTTTGATGCCAGCCCATGGAAAAAGAGCTGCTAATTTGTCCTCATCGTGGAAGGTGACATCTTCTGCAGGCATCTCCAGCGGGCGGGACAGGAACGCTGTATCTCCAACGTGGAACTCGTACACCGTGGTTTCCGACGCAAAAGATGCTCCGTCTTCAGCACCGGCCGGAAGACCCAACCTCGCCGAAAACTCCGGAGTCGCTGTCCTCTCCCGCTCCGTCTCGTTCGTCGGAAAAGCCGCCACCTCCCGCTCCTTCTCGTGCGGCGAGGCGGTACAATGGGAACCAAGGGGAACCTGAGATTGCGTGGGGGGGGGGACGATAACACGGCGACGGGGGTGGGGGGCTTCTCGCGGGTCCTGGTGGCGGGGCTCCAGCTCCTTCAGCCGCGATCGCAGCGCCCCCTGCTTCGCCCTAGCCGCTTGGAGATACGCCTCACGCTCCGCCAGAACAGCCGCACGCTCCTCCTCCCGCTTCCTCGCCGCAGAAGCCCGAACAGCCTCACGCTCCTCCTCCTGCTTCCTCGCCGCAGCAGCCAGAGCAGCCTCACGTTCCGCCAAGCGCTCCGCGTCCTCGCGCTTCGCCTGCTCTCGCGCCTCCGCCTCTGCTATCTTCCCGGCAAGACCGTCGCACCACGTCTCGTTCAACCTTTGGTACGTCATAAACTCGTCGTGGGGCACGAGGATTAATTTGTCGTCCTGCGGGAGCGAGAGAAGAGGAACGAAAAGGGGGGAATCGGACGACAGATGGGCCGCTTCTACAATATCCTCCAGAGAGACACGTCCGGTGTTGTAGGCCCGCTCCAGTTCCGCCGGATCTGCTGTGGCGATGTTGTCCAGCAAATTATCGACGGTGAACACAGTGGGCATGGGGGGGCTCTCGTCTCCTGCACCGGCCGCTGGAAGCTGCTCTGCGGTGGGAGCCTCGCCCTCGGGTTCGTAATCGAGGATTTCCACATTGTCGCCCAGGAGTTCCACATTGCCGCTAGACATGGTGTCCTCTTTGTTAACAATGGGGCCAGAGAGAGGGTAGCTACGATCGATTGTGGAAAGGGCAGTAGGGCCAGAAACAGCAGATGTAGGTTGCCCAACCGCAGAGGCAGCAGCACCAAGAGCAGCAGAAGCAGTAAAGTCGGGTGCAACTTCGGGAAAAGCAAGCCGAGGTCCATGCGAAAGGCGTAGATATCCACAGGAAAGCATACGCCCAGTGATAAAAGCTTTGTGCACACGAGATTGAAGTGGATCCAACCAAGCAGAAAAGCGTCCAACAGCACACAATGCCACGCACAAACAGCAGTAGGAGCTACCACAAAAAGGGCCCGTGTTACATGGAGACACGAGGTTTTCCGACCAAAAGACACGCAGAGCAGCACGGCGTTCCTCCGCAACTGGTGCCGAAGTGCGAGCAAAGACCGCTGTGGGTTTGCGCTGTTGAAAGGTTTCCAATTCAAATGTTTTGAGGGTGAACGATTCCCCGAAAAATAGTGTCATGTGATTTCGAAAAATGGAGGGAAGGCTGGTGGGGAGGCTAACACCCAATTTATGTGCACACAAGGCGTTCCAAGTCGATGCAAGCGGAGTCAAATCGGTGAGCACAACAGGAAAATCCGCGGACATCGGCCGGTACGCCGGCATGAATGCAGTAGAGGTGGTAGCAGACGTGGGAAACATGCTGTCATCTCGGGTCCCACTACACAAGGCCAGCATCTCAGGACGCTCCATGCAGAGGGTATCCGCCACAGAAATCACTTCATGGACCGCCGATGCAGACAAAATAGCTTTCGAGGGACGGCGAACGTACGAAAAATCACCCAAAACATCGCGATGGCCTCCGAGGCGCGTATCCTTTGCAAGGTCCCGGTCCCGCGGGCGCTTCGCAAAAGTATCACAAGCCAGCATCTCTACAGGAGAGGGAACAGAGAAGAGGCTAAGTCTAGATTCTCGTGGGTGGTGAGACCAAACAACAAGCAACCCGGTGGTTGTGAAAAAAACGTGGCAACAACACACAGCAGTGTGGAAGCCGCGTCCAGCACCCGCTTGCCGTGTAATGCCAGCTGACGCCAAGTTTCAAGGAGTGATGCCGTGGGCGGTAGCTTGCTCCTAGAGATAGATGAAGGTTCTGTCGTTGACACGCTTGTCCACGACCACGTTGAGATGAGAAAGTTGCTTGTTATTGCTGAGAGACGATCAAGAAGGGTATACCTCCTGACCGACCCGCATCCTATGCATATCAACAATAAGATGTACCCTATTCATGCTAGCAGCCACTCTCCTTGACAAAGTGCTGTTGTGGTGAAGTTTTTGCGGTAGATGATGCTCCGCCTCCAGTGGCATGGGTCGCTAGATGCCCGCTTCGGTGATGCTGATGAAACCTACATCGAGGACCTTCTCCAACTTGAGCTCCCGTCAACATGCGCAGATCAGTGTTTGCCCTCGAAGGCTCTATCGCGTTCCTTCACGTCTAACCTCGTGCATCAATCACCCTCCTACGAACCGATTCCCCCCACAACATGACCCTCACGGCACACACCCCACACATCACAATCTCACTCAGATCACGCCGGTGCAAAGGCCGATCGACACGGAACCTTTTGGATGCTCCCTTATCGTTGGTAGACATGTAAGTGGTTGGTGATATCGGTCCACGCCTTTTCGCTCCACGTATGACCACTCGCATGCTGTGGTGGAGTCTTAGACATGATGTGTTGGGAGTGGTACTTCACAATGTCCATATCATCGAACAGACGGTCGAGGGGTTGGTGAAAATATACTTCCAACAAGCTGGGCTCGGGAACGGTGCCGTCGGACCTGGTTAGCCCGGGTGTACTCTCGTCACGCAAGGATGTTCCTGATCAAACGTATTAACGCTGCCGGGAGGAAGAATGGCAAATGACGTATACGTTTGGTATTTTTAATAATAGTTATTTTTTGTCGAGAAGAGTGGCCCGTACAGGGGTGCGTCTTTTTTTGTGCTAATACTGTGTGTATCCAGTCTTTTATAGTGAACCTTTACACGCGATGCAGGATATAAATCGGTAGTGCTATTTACGACATTAACGACACCGCACAAAAAAGCTTCGAAACCACATCGCTGTGTTCCTACGGCTCTCAGCTGTAGCGCAAAGCCCTCGTTCGTCCCATAGTGACCTAATATAGCAGCCAAGATATGGCACCTAATGATGTGGCGGTTTAGGAGGAAGGAAAGTAAAAGGAGAACAAAGAAGACGACCGTTGTAGGGGTGGAAAGGAGATTATCTGTTAGTTCGAACGTGTCATGACGTGCGCGTGTGTGTGGTTTTTGGAATTGCGCGGAAGGCACAAAACCCCCCCCCGTGAAACTGTAGATATTTTAGGTACTCTTGAGAACTATTTTCTAGTCAATATATCACAAAAAGATTGACGCTGCACATACCACCTCCCCTCCCGCTATAAGAACAAGTTCAGGGTCAACAGTGTATTCGGCTTCGTGCATTTTTTCGTCCGCCAATGTTCACCTTCGGTCGAACCCTTCATCCTTGTCGATTTCCGGGATTTGTCCTTCCGCCCTTGCGGGTTGGCGGGTGTCTCAAAGAAGCCGAGTTTCCACGAGTAAAGCGTGGACGGAGGGTGAAGGGTAGAAAGTCAAACCCCCTTCGCCGAGCGCGTCGGAGGGCATCAGCGAAGGAAACGCCGCAACGGAGCAACATTAACCAAAGTGTGCGGGTCGGAAACTGCTTCAGACGGTACATAGGTTTGTGAGAAGGGCGATTGCGCGAGAGTGCAAGGTGGATCGACAGATGTTACTTTTCTCGCCTGTCACAGCTGGTGTAGGGTGTTTGTCCGAATACCGCCGAATCTGCTGCGAATTTCATGGATGGAAGGAGTGAAGTTAGTCAGGCCCGTTTCCGTGGAGTTCTATTTTTTCATCGACATGGTCCCGTCAGCCTTGGATTGTCGAGTCGGTTTGGCAGTATTTTCACATCTATTTGTTCAACAGTGTCGTGATACTGAAGTACTGAAAGGAAGAGGTTTGGCTTCAGATGCACATGGGTGCCCTCGTCGAGGAAGCCTCCTCGAAGCTGACAGTGAAACATTTACTTCGAATTCTTTGGCAATGACGCCCCGCGATGTTTCGCTTCTGATTCGATTGAACCAGGAAGATATGCGTGTCGGAGTTGGGGCGCGGTTTCACACCGGGACTCGGGGTACCGAAAACCCTGGTTATAGAACCGTTTACAAGGTCAACGAGGATGCCTATTTCGAACCGGCTTCGAACGATGCGGTGAAGGATTCATGCTGTTGCATGCAAACGGTTCCTGCTGGTTTCGTCGACGCAGACGTCGCGATCGATTCCGGAACACCAACAACCACCAAACTGGCAGGGGAAAGGGTGGGCAGGGGCAAGAATCCGGGTGGCGCAGAGCGGATGGCCGTGACACTGCCACCAACGAGGATGGGATAAACGGCAGTCTGCCAAATGCGTGAGCGGGGGGGAAGTGGGAGCAGCATCAAGGGGCAGTCGACGACACTGACGTCTTGTCGGGCAAGGATTAGAGTAGCGGCAGCCACATATATATCGGCAAGTGCATTCTGGTTTCGGCCGAATGGCGGCTTTCGCGGCAGTTGGTGGCCGTGGGAACATGAAACAATTGGTTTTGTGCCCATTGGATGTGTTCTCGGAAAGTTCTCGCGGTGTCGAAAAAGGCCATGTTCACGAGACCGCCGAGGTGGTGCTGCGGCCACATTCTCGGGCGTACCTTGGGAACCACGTGTTGGTGCCCGCCAAATGACGGCTTGTGCGACAGCTGGGGGCCCTGGGAACACAGCTCAATTGTTTTCGTGCATATTGAAGGTGTTTTCGGAAAAGGTGTCGTAAATATGTTCATTTACGACACCGCCGAGGTGGTGCCGTGACGTCAGTTGGGGCCGTTTCTCGGCAACCACCGGTCACCATGGGACGAACGAGGGCTTGCGCGACAGCTGAGAGCCGAAAGAACACAGCGAATGTGGTTTCGAAGCTTGTTAGGTGTCGTAAATATTACTGGGGCCGAAAATATGCCCCATATGCCCAAATGTCCTCAGTAGCCATCCCGTTCCGACCATGGTATGTTCGTCCTCCCTTTTAGCGAACCCTAACCCAAGCAAGAACTACGCTTTCAATGCTACTTCTAACCCGCAAACTTTTATACCTGGTAGGAACGTCATCGGGGCCATCGACGGCAACCCACATCCTGATCCCAGGGCCGGACGAGGAGCTGATGCTCGCGTACTACAACTACAAGAGGATCTACTCCATCCTGCTCTTGGCGATTGTGGGCAAGAGCAGGCTCGTTCGTTGGTTCATGTCAGGCGCAGCGGGCTCGCGCGCGGACAGCGGTGTCTCACAAGCGACGTCGCTTTCCAGGTGGGCACAGGAACAGTCTAGGCCCCCTGCTGCACGCAAGATATTTGCGGACGGAGCGTTCATCCTCGGTGACCCCGACTTTGTTGAAGGAGCACGGCTGCGAATGCCTTGTACGATGCCGATACCCAGAGCGAAGTGCTTTTTCACCTACAAGCTCTCCTCCTTGTCCTCCTTGAGAATGCGAGTTGAACACGCTTTCGGCAGGTGTAGTGCCGCACAATCAACCCTAGACTAGCGCCTCCCGCCCCCCTGTAATGTACGTCATGTATCTTCTGCTTAAGTTGCCCGGATGTATGCTGGATTGGACTAGTTGTTTCGCTGGTGGTATGGGTCGGTTTGAGTCCGTGGTTACACTCGATATCCTTTTGCTATCAAGACGCCGCAGATACATTGTTGTGCACACCGTCCCTTCACCGCCCTCCCCGCATCGGTGCTTGACAGGTGTAAAGTGGAAGTTCCTCTTGCTCCAGCATGGCCTCAAGCTCAAGCTCAAGGACGCCGCACTCTGATCATTGACGAATGCTATGTCCTGTACAGCTTCACGTTCCTCCGGAAAGGACGTAGATGTCTGTCTCACTAGTCGACCGATGACGATCAGACGAGGAACGGCACAAGGACTGCTCGGGGAGCCGGGGCGGGCACGGCTGAAGTTAGAGACAGAAAGGCGGTGTGTTTCGCGGCAAAACTTCATGGAGCGGGACTGGAGCCCGAGTCGATGGCGGACAGATGGCGATGCTTGAGGGAGCGGGAGTGCAGGGGACAGGAGTCGTATCCTTTGCGTGGTTCGTTCGAGGCAACGACTCAAGTCCTTGGGGGAGATCGAAA